GTTACTGCTAGAATAGCTATATTATAGCTATAACTAGCTAGAATAGCTAAGTAGAATAGCTAATAGGGAATAAACAAGGTGCAAAGAGGAGGAGGAGCAGCAGCTAAGATTACTGGCTCAACACATATGTGCTGTGAAAAACATTGAGACCAAGTCTGAAGGAGGTGTGGACATTTCCTGCTTTAGAAGCAGCTTTGGAGGAGAAAATAAAGGTCTGTCTCTTCACCCACCCAGGGTAGATGCTTCAAAGGATGACTGGCTTTTGGGATAAAACTTCCTAGAATGATCAGAAGCATGGCTGCTCCCCGAGATCATTGGCTATTTTGTACTTCAGAAACCATATTTCATGCAACCATAAAAACTAATGCAAGCATATAGGAATAAAGGAAAACTTCATCTCACTGTGATATCCTGGCACAGATTCAATCTCTTCAACAGCTCTATTGAAAACTAAATAAGGTGGGAGTGCAGGCCTCTGGTTTGAGGACCAGCTGGAGAGATGTCAAAAGCAAAAAAACAAACATGAATGAAAACCATGAATGGAGGGAGGTAAGGGAGCTGCCTTCAAGCTCAAGTCTTAACACCTGCAGCACTGGCCTGAAAACACACTGAACCACACAATCTGAAAATGTCAAGAGAGGTCACAGAAACAGCTTTGAGATCTAGAAACATGAGCTGAAAATGAAACAGGATTCAACCAGGCAGGACATCAGAAATGGTAGACACAGAGACAGCACCTACAGACTGCAGAAAAAACACAGTTGTAGAGACACATCCTTTCTACCTCCACCAGCAACCGTGAAAGTCACTTCTGCAGTAACATGTGCAAGTGCAGCCCTGGCAGAAATGACGTGGCAAAGTCCTCACCACGCGGGATGGGGCACTCTCTGTTCACATCACCGTGTTGCTCAACTCCGACTCTCGGGCAATATATTCTACACGTGTTTGGTGATACCACCTAAGCCACTAGTTTCTGTCTCATGGTATTGTGCCTTTCCAGGTAAAATGAAGTGTTTGAGTCAAAGGAGCAATGCTGTGCTGGCCACCCACACACCTTGTCCTCCATGCCCATGACCTGGAAGAGGAAATGTGCTTCAGGAAGGACAGGGAATGTGTGACTGTAAGGGCAGGTTCTCCTCGACTCCTTTGAGCAAGTCATTTTATACCTGTGAGAAATCAGATTTGACTCAAGATGCTTCTGAGCTGGAAATAAGTCCAGACTTGAAAAACGTTGAACTACTTGCACTTGTCCTTAGCTTCTTCCCATGAACCACGTACTGCAGGCAGCACAGGGAGTTGCAGCATCCTTCGAGTGTAACTGCTTCCCTTTTCACATCTGGTTGCTCTCAAAGCCCTCGTCTTCCTCCAAACCCCCCATAGTCCTCAGCATTTTCCAGGTTAAAAGGAGAGTCACTCTGCTGGCTGAAGAGAAGTCTAAGAAAATAAGCCTACAGGTAGAGCTGCCAGGCAGGACAGCACCTGCTGGAAGGAGCTGGGCTCAGCCAGGCTAACCCAGAGCCTTGCAGCAGATCTCACTGCGAGCCCCAGCGTCACCACACCGCGGGCCGTTCCCATAGCTACACAGGAAGATAAATTGAGTTCAAGGGACCTCGTGTCGCTACATTATTTAACAAACAGACACACTCAAGAGGAAAACACAGGCAGGGACCCAGTTTAGCTGCTGCGTGGGCTGATCAGACCAGTGGATGCCAGGCTGCCTCACAGAGTGAAAGGGCCCAAATCCCAAACCTCGGCACCATGGTGCTCTAGCCCCAGCCAGGCACTGTGTTAGTCACAAGGAGACTCCAGTTTGGCCACAGAAGAGCCGTGCTGGTCCTGCAAGGCCAGAGGAGGGTAAGGAGAGCCCCCTGCCCCGCCAGAATGATGACCTAGAGCACAGGTAAAGAAAGCAGAGGATACCTGACCCATTTGTAACACAATCCAAAGCCTGACTTCAGGAAGGGAAAGGCCAGTCCCTCTGCAAGTCTGTGTTATGGTCCAGGCCCTCGGACGGATTCCCAGAGTCCTTAAATGGGATGAGGAATGTGGGCACAAGGAAAAGCATAGAAAAAAGCAGGGTGTGGGGAAATCACAGGGATGCTGGGAGAGATGAACAAGGTTGGAAGGTAAAGATGTTGATGGAGCTCGTTGGAGGTGCTGTGGAGAGCTTATGTTTGGAAAGAGTAGTTCAGCATGGCAGCAGTGAAGAGAAGCAGGAGGGGTCTGAGCCAAGGCAGGGAAAACAGGAGCAACAGTAGGTGTTTGGCCCCACCATCATGATGAGAGAAGCATCTTTGAGAATAAGTGCCCTGAGCCAGCGAGGGGTGAGCAGGACTGTTCTTATCACACAATGTTTTCAACACTGGTGTAACCCAACGCCCTTCTCCTTCTCCAAGATCCGGCAAGGAGGAGCAGAAAGTCACCCAGATCGGGTGCAGAGGGCACAGAGAGAGGGATGCCAAGGTCCACTGGCCTGTTCTCAGGAGAGCCCAGCAGCCTCACTGCAGACCCTTCCCTGGCGGGCAGCAGGGACGTGCGGGACACAGCCAGGCCAGCAGTGCCACCGTGTGGGAGCAGGTCACCTCGTTCTCTCAGGACATGGGCAGCAAGGCTTTCTCGAGGGGGAAAGAGCAGTTGGAAATACATGAACAAATAAAAAAGAGAAACAAATAGATCGTGTCTCAAACTCCCCCTTCCCATCCCCAAACTTAATGAGAATGTGAGACTTATCCAGAGACATTCCCTCAGCCAGAAACCTGCTTCCATGCTGGAAGCTAAAAGACTGTGTTGTCTCTCAAGTGCTTTTCAATAATGCCCAGAAAAATAACCCTCCATCATTTTACCAGGCGCTGAAGTGAGACTGACAGGCCTGTAATTACCAGGGTCTTCCTTCCTACCCTCCTTGAAAACTGGGATAAAAATCCAGCATAGACAGGTTTAAAACAGAAATGTAACTGCTACTTTTCTGGCAGCCACAAGTATTGCACAGGTGTTTTCACTGAACTGCCCAACATATTCTTAGGTTTCCACCCTCAGACAATATTGCAAACTTGAGAAATGATCTTTAAATAGAGGCAGTCCTGTATTAGCTCCCTCCTCTGTTGAGGAGGGAGCTAATTTATTATCTAGTTTCTAGGCTGTAAAAACCTACTTATCAGCCTTCTGAGCCAACTGATTTCCTCTCTAGTTTATGATAAAGGCTATCTTATCTATCTTTGTGAAATGCTGAGCTTCAACACATAAACACAATCCAGAAGCATGAACCCATTGCACCCTGGAGTTTGTTGATCGGAGAAAAGAATTTCCCTTCAGTAACATCCAGATAATTGTTCTTAGTCCCAGCTCTACCTGTTCTTTCTTTCTGCTTGGCATTTGAGCTGCAATTTTCAGTAAGGAAGTAAACCTTTTTTATTCTCCAACAGATCAGGAGCCCTCAACAAGAAACTGTATTTTATTAACAGTTTTGCCATTGGACTGTAATTCATCAAGCACATTTAACATACTCCCATCCAACCCTCCAGGAAAGCTCTTAATTAAAATGGCCAGATTCCTCGAGATTCAAAGGCTGTTATTTTAAAGGCATCAGGGAAAAGGGAAAAAAAAAAAAAAAAAGAGGTCAGGAAGCGAGCAAAGCAAGCGAAGCATGTTCTTAATTTAAATGCCCTGCTTTAAGGACTCCTGCCCAGACAGCACGAGCCCCCTCACGCGCGTCCCCGTCCCCACAGCAAACGCCAAGCGCCCCCCCCGCCGCCCGCCAGCCCATCCGCCAGCCGCGGATCATGAGTGCGGTCTTAGGAACGGACCAATGCCCGATGAGGGCCGGGAAAAAGAGCGGGGCGGGCGGAGGCGGGGGGCGCGCCGGGCGCGGGTGACCGCATGCGGGCGCGCGGCGGGAGCGCGCCGAGTCCGCGGGTCGCTCTTTCCCTGTTTCCTTCTATTCCCTCTTTTCCTCGTTTCCCTCGTTTCCTCTCTCCCTCTCCGCCTCTCCTCGCCGCGCCATGAGCCAGTTCACTTCGGGACCGCCGCGTCGGGCGGCGCTTCAGCTGGGCCGCCAAAGCGGCCGCGCCGCCACCCACGACCACTGAGCGGGCTTCTCCTTCTCCGCCCCGCGCCCGCCGCCTCGGAGGCGGATTCAAGCTTTGCCACCGCGCCCGGCGGCGGGCGGCGGCAGCCCGCCGGGGCTCTTCTTCAGCAGGCCGGCCTCCACACGCAGCCCGGTTCAGCTTCGGCCGGCACACCGCCCCGCCGCCGCCCGCCGCCGCGCGTTCCTGCGCTGGGGTGAGACCGGGGGCCGCGACGAGGGGGTGATCTGCTCGGGGCTTCGGGAGGGCCTGGAGAGGGGTTCCGGAGGGAGCGAGCCCCTGGCTCTGGTGCCCGGGAGTTCCCAGCGCCCTGTAGGGTGTTATTGGGAACGTGCTCAGCGAGCCCCGTGGCTCGTCCCCAATGATGGCTCCGGGTGGGCGCTGGGAATGAGCTGCTCCACGCTTCCCTCTGTGACTGGCGTAGAGACGCCCGGACAGAGATAGGATAAAGCTTTGCCCGCAAGCATAAAAAGTCTTGTCCTTTCTGACCCAAATCTGGAGCGCCCAGAATGATTCCTGGGCCAGTTGGGAGCGTTTTGTCCTTAGGAAAGGCTGTGAGCTCTGGAGTGGCTCTTCAGAACTGCTGCTGTCGAAGCTTTGCTTTGTCGAGCAGTGGGAAAGGGAGCTCAGATGGGGACGAGCAGTAAAAGTGAGCAGAAAAAAACCAGCCTTGTATAGAGGGAGTGGCTGAGAGGTGTGAGAAGGAGCAACTTCTCTTTCACTGCCATAAATGTTCTGTAGTGTCTGAGTGGGTGGAGGTAGTGAAGGGAGAGTCAGTCTAAAGAGCCCTAAGGAAGGATGGCAGGTGACAGGAGTTCGATACAGTCTCCTGTCGGAATCAGAAAACAAACCTGGCCAGGTGTGCATCTCTTTGTAAGGTGGTTTCTGCTGTCAGCAAATGGTCTGTGAGAAGGATGACTGAGTACTGACTGAATGTGTGTCTCAAGAAGGTTGGCTTCTTTTCTTTCCCTCTCTAGGGGAAACACACCAAAAGTAAACTTTGGGAGCAGCACTGCAACTCAGGCTCCTGGAATCACAGGGGGTTTTGCATTCGGTAGCTCTGTGGCAACCAGCACGCCCTCCAGTCAAGCAGCAGCAGCCCCATCTGGCTTTGCCTTTGGCACTGCTGGCACCAGCAGCACCAGCACGGCTCAGACTGGGACGACAGGAGGGTTCACCTTCTCCAGTGGCACCACAACCCAGGCGGGAACAGCCGGGTTTAACATCGGCACTGCGGCCCCGCAGGCCACGTCCACAGGGCTGACCTTTGGCACGAGCCCTGCAGCTACTGCCACCCACAGCCCCCTGGAGCGCTGCCCCAGCAGCTGCACCCCCTTTTCAGCCTCGGGGGGCAGCCCACAGGTGGGTGAGCACCGGGCCGGGGGCGGCAGCTGGGGAGGGAGAGGAGGTTCTGCAGCCTCCGGAATGGAGCAGGAGCTGGAGTCAGTGCTGTGTCTGACAGGCCTGTCCAGGGTCTGCAGGGGTGGGCAACAATGGCTCTTTAGCCTTTGGGTTTGGAGAGTGAGGCTGAATAATTCTGGCAGCGTGTAGAAGTGCCAGCTGCCTGGGAAGCACTTTTTAAATGTGTTTTGGGTGATCTGCTGGTGCAGAGGGAAAGGGCTGGGAGTGGAGGGGAGCAGGTGCTGCAGGATGAGTCTGGCTGACAGTGCCAGACCGTGGTTCACCTCCCTGAGGGCAGGAACCTGCTCCCTCCTGCAGAGTCTGCCCAAAGCTCAGCGTCTCGTAGGAAAAAGTTCATCTTTTCCCTTTGCTTTTACTTGTTCCAGGTCTAACCTTTGGGTCACTGACTTCAACAGCAGCCACGAGTGCACCTACAGCAACACTGACCACAAGTACCACCCAGGCACCCACCCTGTCCTTTGGAACCAAGCTGGGAGGTAGGAGGATGTTTTGGGAAATATTTCCTTAAGAGTTTGCGAGTGCTGTCCTTCTGGGGATATTTTTCTAGGCTGGAGTGTGGGAAGGGGCTGTGTAGAAGCATTTGTTGCTGTGGGTTTGCTCTGGCAGTGGAGATCGGTGACAGCTCACAGAGCCATTGGATGTGGTGTCCTGTGTCTTTGATTGCATCCCACATGCCACATTCTGTTCTGTACTTATGGGAGCAAAGTGGAAGGGAGCCACAGGCATAAGGGGTTCCTTGGGAAAGAGCAGAGAGTGTTGAGGCAGAATAAGAGGAAAAGCTGGTAAAATCCTGACATCCCGAAGAACCTGCTGCAGCCGGGCAGTTTGTGTCGCCTTCTCAGCAGGAGGGTCCTGCAGTGGATGGGAGCTCCATGTGCTCTGCTTGTCCAAGATAGAGCTTTTTCTCTTTGCAGTAACATCCACAGCTGCTACAACGGCCTCCACCAGCACCACCTCTGTGCTGGCTCCCACGGGGCCCACGTTGTTCGCGTCCGTCACGAGTTCTTCGGCCGCGACGTCGTCCACCACCACGGGCCTCTCACGTGAGTCACTCCAGACAGCCTTTATCCAGGTTTTATTTACTGGAGGAATAAACGAGCAGCAGGGCTGGTGGTACCTGTGGGCATTGGAGCTCTGCTGCTGCTGCTGGGGTGAGAGGCGTGAGCAGGCAGGGCAGAGCTTTTCCAACCTCTTGATGTTGTTTTCTGTTTACAGTTGGTGCCCCTTCCACTGGTTCCACTGGGACTGCCGGTCTGGGGACACTTGGGTTTGGATTAAAAGTTCCTGGAACAACAGCTGCCACAACAAGCACTGCCACTGGTAGGAATGAGATGCTGAAAGTAGCTGAAAAGAAGAAAGAGTAGCAGCACAGCAGTTCTGACTTGTAAAGCCCTCCAGTAACTGAAAAGAACATGTCCTTCTTTCTTTGGTCCTCCTATTCCATCTTGTTTTGGGAACATAGAAGTCTCATCTCCTGCAAAGGTGCAGGAGTGTAACTGGGTGTGCTGGTAGTTATTAGGTCTGGTAGTAGAACATGAGGAGATTGAGAGTGGTGTGGGCAAGCGATGTTTTCATTCCCTTCGTGACAGATGTGGGGTTTGCTTTTTTTTTTCAGAGGGGCCTATTGGAGCTGCTGCAGTTTGTTACCTACCAGATGTGTCCTCTTCTGTTGCTTGACTTGAATCTCTTCTTCCCAGGTACTACTTCTGCTTCTGGCTTTCCTTTGAATCTGAAGCCATTAACTACAACTGGTGCCATTGGAGCTGTGACCTCCACAGCTGCCACAACCACAACCACCACGACCAGGTGAGTGTTTTGTTACCCCTGTTTCCTGACTGGGGCGAGAGCTGCTGCAGTGCTGATGGAGGGATGTGATGGAGGAAGGGGAGAGGAGTGTTGTCGTGCTTCTCTTTTCTTTTCTGACCTTGTGTTCTGTCCTGCCCCTCACTCCCTCTCAGCACACCTCCAGTGATGACTTATGCCCAGCTGGAGAGTTTGATAAACAAGTGGAGCCTGGAACTGGAAGACCAAGAGAAACACTTTCTCCATCAAGCGACACAAGTGAATGCCTGGGATCGGATGCTGATAGAGAATGGAGAGAAGGTGAGGACATGTCCAGTGTAACCTGATTTTGCTTGCTTAGATCCTCTAAGGCCTTCAGTGTTACAGATGCAACAAACCAGTGCATGGCACTTTTCGACTTGTGAAAAAAAATAGATGTGAATTCTGTCTGGGTGTTTTTCACAAATCTCTGTGTCTTCTATTCTTGATGCATTGGAGCTTGGGAATCTGTTCTGTGACTTTGCTGAGTCACAGAACTTTGATGACAAGTTCTTTTAGGGGGAGCATTCCAATCTGAACCTCCCTTAGTCCATCTTTGTTCTGTAAATCTGTACGTAACTGTCTCTTGTGTGGTGCTGCTTTCTCACTCCCACTCCTCCTCTTTGGGGAGTTGTCTTTTGAGTTTACAAGGTCTAATGAATTGTCTTCAATTTCCAGATTACTTCATTACACAGAGAAGTAGAGAAGGTGAAGGTTGATCAGAAGAGGTAAGAAACTATGAACACCTGAGATGGTTTTGGTTGGTTGTTTTTTTTGTCGTGCCTGGTTGTATGACAGCCCTAGAATGTTTATAACCTGCAGGGGTTTATTAAAATTGGCATTTCCTCTTTTCAGACTGGATCAGGAACTTGACTTCATTCTGTCACAGCAGAAGGAGCTTGAGGACTTGTTGACTCCTCTGGAGGAGTCTGTGAAGGAACAGAGCGGGACCATCTACTTGCAGCACGCGGATGAAGAGCGGGAGAGGACGTAAGGCAGAAACCTGCTTGGGATGTGTGTGACCAGACTCCTGGGGTGATGACCAGTCAGCAGAAAGTGGAGTTGGGATGCAGGACAGTACTGAACCTTCAGTGGCTGCTGTCAGATATTTAACCCTGTTTTGTGCATGGCAACTTAGATTTTACTCGTTAGAAATGGGAATTGTGAGTGGAAGCCCTCGAGTCAGCATGAAAAGCTCTTTGGATGTTGGTCTAATCAGCTGTCTGGGAAGAGCTTACTAATTTTTGCATGATTTCTGAAAATTAATGATTCTTTAGTGCTAGAAGTGATGAGAGCAGAACACACTAGGTGTGGCACCGGCATCCTCATGAGCCTTAAGCGATGCATCGTAGCAGAGTAGTTAGTGTTTGGTTCAGGAGAGAATGAATCTTGAAGAGTGCAGGCTTATTGCTTCCTTCAGTTCTGACAAAGCCTTCCAGGAAGCCCTTCACACTATGTATTGCTTGTCTGTCTCCATGTATCTGTTGAGAGTGGTTTAAGAGTCTCTTCATGCATGTGGTGGAGCCTCTCAGGGTACTGCTCCCACATCTCTGCCAGCCTTGGCTGCAAGACATGGAGGCTAATTGTGGTTGCCTATAGTTGGTGTAACTGGGAGCAGGTTTTCAAAGGTCCCTTAAAATGTTCTGATCTTGGTTGCCTTGTGTTCTGCAGCTACAAACTGGCTGAAAACATCGACGCTCAGTTGAAGCGCATGGCACAAGACCTGAAGGACATCACTGAGCACTTGAACACATCAAGAGGCCCAGCAGACACGAGTGACCCGGTAAATGCAAGCTTTTTTTTTAACTTTGGCAAAGGACATTTAATTACCCTGCAGTTCTGTTAACAGTTTTCAAAGCATCTCATTCTGGTATGAACTCTGGTCGTTTGCTTGTTGATTAATTTCTGCCTAAATTGTGCTTTGTTTCAGAGGCATTTAACATTGATCAGGCTCCATCACTTGCATCTGTCCTGTGCCAAATCTAAATTTAGTTCAGAATGCCCCCCACAGATGTTGATACATTTTCCTTATACCATTTTTGTATCCTCATGAAAACAAGATCTGAATAACCAGCTCTTTCTGATGTATATTAAATTAATCTTGATACTCCTTATGACTTTACTGAGAAGCTTATTTTTCAGTAAAAATTTCCTTTCAGTATTGTAGACTGAGTTTTCCACATTTATTTTTAATTTTGCCACCAGAAGCCTAGGGTGATGAATGTTCTGATGGTTCTTAGGTCTAAATTAGAATAAGCCACAGACATAGAATCTAAATTAGTTTTCCTGATGGTAAAGAGAAGGAAAGCAGCAGTGTTGCTGCCCAGACTTCCCTGGGAAAGTGGCTGCTCAGTTAGGGGAGCTGAACAGTGAAAAACTTGGCTGCAGCCTGTTCCAAAGGAAGGGACAGGCAGGCTCTCTCTTACTCCTCTTAGTGTTTATGTAGTGTAACAACTGACTTGCACCTTCTCTTTCTGCTCAGCTTCAGCAGATCTGTAAAATTTTGAATGCACACATGGATTCCCTGCAGTGGATTGACCAGAACTCAGGTGAGTGTCATCTTGCAGCCTTTTGGGAATGTAAATGGAAAGCAGGGAGCATGTGTGGGAGTCATTGAATTGCTGAAGATCCCTGAGGAATCTTTTCCTCCTCACCTTCAATGTCACTGTCCCTTCTGTGCTCGAGTTCCCCTGATGTGCCTGATTGGGGGCCTCTGCTGAGAAGCCCTGCTTGAATGTTTTTCTTTCTCCTTCTGCAGGCACAAGTGTGCAGGGTTGTGTTCTGGGGGTGACTGTGAGATTAATCCCTTCTTTCTCCCCCAGCTGTGCTGCAGAGGAAGGTGGAAGAGGTGACCAAGGTTTGCGAGAGCCGCCGCAAGGAGCAGGAGCGCAGTTTTCGCATCACCTTTGACTGAAGGACTCCCAAGTTTAACGGGTTAACATAAAAGCCTCCCCAGAAAACAGAGCTGTTTGGGAACTGAGGTCTGAGATGGTGACCTGCCTTTGCTTCTTTTTCTTGCAATAAAATGTGTTGTTTGTTCCAAAGCCAGTCTTTGTGGTGTTGGAGGGGAGTTCACTGACCCCAGTCTGAGGAACTGTGTGAAGTTTGTGCAGGAAGTGTGGGCTCTTTGTCCTTCAGCACTGCCTGCAGACTGGTGGGATACACAAATGCTGCCTGGGAGGGCTCTGGGCAGGCTGTGCCTCCCTGGCCGAGTTCTTTGGTGCTTAAATGTAAATTGAATATGTTTAATTGTGACTTAATAAGCTTTTTCTTGGGTCTTTAAGAGATGGTTGGATGAAGAGCCATCCTCAGAGGAGCTGCAGCAGTCTGGGAGACTGCAGTCCCTGACCTGGCACGCTGGAGTTGGTGTTTAAATTAAGTATCCTTCCACTTCTGAAAGCGAGCCTTGTTTTCTGTGTTTTGGGCAAGAGCAAATTGGGTTCCCTCACCCACCGTCCCCCAGAGCTGGGATGTTGCTCTCCCCTGAACACTGGCATGCTGTGGGAAGCATGTGGGAAGCTGTGGGAAGCCATTAATGCTACCCCACAGAGCAGCCATCCTCTATGCCACAGGGCTTTAGGGGCATCCCCAGTGAGGAGCCAACATGTATTTCCTGTCATAAGCACCCATGTAATTACATACCTGTGCAGCACCTGGAAGAAAAGGGACAGACTTTTTTCTTGTCCTGTAGCAACATACCTGCTGCAACCAGAGACGGGGCAGCAGCCACCCCAGTCAGGTATTGCAGCTCAAAGCACAGAGGCCAGGACTGGACACAGTCCTGCATCAGCAGAGTGCAGTACACTTGGAGAAGAACTTGGAGAAGAACACAAATGTGAATAAGCACACGCTGTGGAAATACCATAAGTGCATTTATTTACACGGCCTCCTCTCTCCCTCCCTGCCTCAAAAGGCTGAGGAACAGGAGGAAAAAGCCTCCTGTGGAACAGGAGGAAAAAGCCAGTCCACCCCAACAGTGTAAAGGCAGTGCCCATCTCTCTCCTTTCCCCACCCTGAGATTAATGGACCTGCACATTAACTCCCAACAGTCCTTCACTGTCCCAGGTACAACCAAGGAGTTCCCATGGCTCACTGAACTCCACAAGGCTCCTGGTTATCCACCCTCACGTGGCAGGGGGGTTCTCTGCAGCAAAGGAGCTGGGGATGGCAGCGTCAGCCTCTGGCAAATGCTTCTTGCTTTTCCCAAATTCAATCACCAGTGGCTTCCCCTGCAGGTTGTACCCGTTCAGCAGCTGCAGGGCACTCTGGGCAGACTCAGTATCTGCAACAAGACAGAACACAGTGGGCACAGGTCACCCAGCACATGCTGGCACAGCATCACTTCTGCTCTGATAAACCCTCTTCCAATCCAGGGAAAAGACTTTGATGTGAGAGGGAGAGGAGGGAGTGAATTCCCCGCCTTCTCCTTGGAGAGCAGGCTTGGCAGCAGCCCACTGCCCTGGGGGAAGATGTGGCACCTTTGGGGGTCGGGGAAGAACTGAGAGGCACAAGGGAAGCAACACAGCAACTCACCAGGGAAGGTGATGAAGGCCTGATCCCTCATCCGCCCGCTGAGGAGGCGGAACTGGATCAGTGGGCTGTCCTCCTTCTGGAACCGGGCAAACAAGGACACCAGGTCCTTCATTGTCACCCGAGGGCCCAGGTTCTTCAAATACAGCACCTGATCCAGGGACACAGAGGGTCATCCCTTGCCATGCACAGACACCTTTCAGCCTGGTCCCAAGTCCGTGCAGATCAAGGGTGTGAACTAGTTCAGCCCCTCTGCCACCCAGAGCCCTCACACCCGCATTCTAACGATGATGTTTGGAAGATGGGTGGGTGCACAGAAAAAGGCAGCTCTGAACTCAAGGCATCCCCGAGCTTACCTGCACCGAGTGCCAACAGTTTCAGTCACTTTTAAAATGCAGCAAGCTTCAGCTATCAGTTAAGCACAGCTGGCCTCAGCCAGGTCCAAAAAGAGAGTGCACATCTTAGCTGGTGACTCGCTGGGGCCAGGAAGGCTGGGCTCAGAAGCACAACTCTCTGCCAGGCCTGTCACCTCCCAGTACAGCCCAAGGTCCCCTTCCCTCCCAGAGCGCAGGCCTCTCTCCCTTGGTCTGGAGGATCAGCCAAGCAACCTCCAGGCAACAGCAGAGGAGCCTTCTCCTGCTGACACAGCTTCAGGGCGTGCTAGTGAGCCAGAACAAATCCTGGTCCACCTCAGCTTACCTTGCTGGGCTCCCCTGGATGGTAGGACGAGAACCTGGGTATCTTCCGGAGTTCTTCCTCTGAGAGGCGGTTCTTGAGGATCTCCTCTTCTGGGACAAACTCTACAGGCTCCTTGATAACCACTGGCCCTGGAGAGGACTGGTGGGGCTTTGCTGCAGGAACGCTGGGACTTGCTGCCTGTTCTGCTTGCTCTTCCTGGTCTGGAGGTGACGAGTCCTCGGTCACAGGCCCCTGCAGGGCCAGGGAAGGGCACAGGCAGGGGTCACTCTTAGCAGGCTGGACTTTTTCAGGGCACTTCTTGCTCAGCAGCTCTTGGTAAACGCTCTCCAGATGAACCATGGGGTCCTTTTCATCTGTTCCCTTCTTCTGAGTGTCATCTAATTCATAACAAAGAAACATGGTAACGTGACTACCACCAAGAACCTGGGAAACACAGAGACTGCAGGAAGAGACACGGAGAGGAGAAACCCTGCCTCAGCCCAGCCTCTGACCACCTGTCAACCAGGCCCTGCAGGTTGTTTAAAACAAGAAGAGCAGCCCCAGCAGCCAGCAAGTGCTGGTCTCCCAGCTCAGGATGAACCTGCAGAGAGCAGCAGCTCCACCAGTGCTATGTGCAGAGCTCATTTCTTCCAGAGGTGTCCTCACCAGCTTATCTGCAGACATATTTCAGCACATTCCAGTGACTCCTTCGATACACCTTCCTCCTCCTGCGTGCATGGCCAGGATGTGCCATGCTGCCTTTCTACACCTCTACATGCAATAGAAACTTTTTGCTTCCAGAGACATCAGATTAAGCTCCTGGGTGTAAAGAAGGTCCATGGCATGGACTGATCAGTGATCTCTTATGATTCACTTAATGGAAAGGAGGACAAAGGTGAGAGGGGCATCTCCCAGCCCACAAACCTCAACCTTGCTGCCTCTTGGTTTTGCTAAATGCCACAACACTGACACCCAAGGAGGGAACAGGGGTCAGAGGATTCTGGGTCAGCTGGACATTACAGCTTGAGCAGCTTCAACACTTATCTGGGAGCTAAGGGTAGAGACGTTCCCCCTCACCTTCTGCTGAACACTGTTACATACAAAAATCAGCCTGGGCTTGAGCTTCATGCCCACATGTTCTCCAGCTAAAGCAGCCAGGAGCAGCTTTTGCCATCTCTGCACAACACTTGACTCTTTGTCTAGAAAAGTCACATTAAGCCACAGGTTTAGGGACACCACCACTAGGGCAGAAAGTGCTGTCAACCCGTGGACACAGGGAATCCACAACTGGATCCAATTCCACTTCAGAGAGGAGCCTTTAACAAGTCATTCCTACTCTCACCTGCTCTGTGCCTTTGCTTCCTTCCCCCCCTAGTTAGACTGCAGTTTTCAGATCTTTAGGCTTTACCAAAGCACAACTCCAGCCCCTCTTCCACACCCCAAGCTGGGCTCTGCAGTATGTGCAGCACATCCATGAGACCCATGCTCCCCAAAAAGATGCATTTTACAAGGCTCTATATTAAACCCTTTGGAGAACCAACTCTCTCTCTTCTCCTGCAAGAGAGGAAAATATCCCCTCCCACACAGGACCAAAACAGAACCACATCTTCAGGGACAGAAGGCCAGACAGAGACGTGTTGGACTCCCACACAGCCTGGCTCTCCGTGCTGGAGCCGAGGCAGGAAGAGCCCTGAGCCCCCAGACCTTCGTGGTAGAGTGCCCGGAGGAAGGAGTGGCGGTCTGTTCCCTGGAAAAGGGCATTCTCAATCTCCATCTCCCTCCGGCTCAGCTGCTTGCTGCCGGCAAACCTCTGCGGCAGAGCCAGGATGCGCTGACGCTCTTCCATCTTCTCCTGGATGGCATGGAGCCGGTCCTGCGTGGCCTCTGGGGCCGCCCCCAGCCCAGAGCCCTGGAAGACAAGCACAGTTTTGCTCAGGAACTGGCCTCCTCCTCAGAGGCTCGGCCAGCAGCCAAACTTCACACCCCCCAGCCCTGCAGTGGGTGCAACCAGGAACCACCCCCAGAGAGCAGGGCACCAACAGGTCCTGTTACTGCAACCACTCAGAAAGCTCAGGTCTTGAGAGAAGTGGAGAAACAGCCCCTTCCTCCTGACCTTTCTGTGCTGCTTCCCTTTCCCGGGCCTGACTCCCTCTGTCCCTGCAGTCCTTGCCTCTGACAGGTACAGCCATTTTACAGAGCCACCTTCAGTAACTGCACAAACCCCTTTGGCAATTCCTTTCCCATTCCTACAGCACTCCCCAACTCAAGTTTCCACCAAGCTTTTTATTTTATGATCTCCTCACTGAGAGAACATTATTTCCTGGAAAGTGGACCCCAAGCTGCCATTTGGCACCTGAGGGTAGATTTATGCTGAGGACTAAGCCCTGACCAGCATCACTCAAGCCAACTTCCAGGAACCACACAGTGAGTGCAGCACAGACCTCACCTGGCTGCACATGAGCATCCCTGGATAACTAAACCTCATTGCACGGGGCCAGGCCAAAAGCACAGCTGCTGAAAGAGCATTTCTGTTCCTCCATCCACCTCGATCAGAATCCAGGCAACACACTTCTATGGGATGGATTTTCTTTCCTCAAATTCAGTTTGAGAATTACTGTGGCAGATCCTTCTGCCTCAGGCAAGAAACCAGGCTTTCTCCCTGCACTTAGCACAACCTAACAAAGACTTTCCCATGGTACCTCTGCCCCACATCTGCATGGCTTCCATTCACCATTTCACAGCTTCCCTGAGGCACAAAAGCCTGTTTACATGGAAAAGCAATTCCCGGAAATCATTTGTAGTACTTTGTTTTCAAAAAAGCTGCCACTTAGCAGCTGAAA